ATGCAGTTTCAGAGCTTGTAGCCCTGAGTTGGTTGGCACTCACATTCTTGGGTCTGTGGCGAGTCAGCACAGAGGAGGAGAGCGCATAATGGAGAGAATTGCTTTATCTGTGACAGTGAGGAAACAGAGCGGAGGCCCAATATTCCTTCAGGATCACACCCCTAATCACCTAACTTTCCCCCATGAGACCTCGCCCCCTACCAGTAATAGGCTGGCAACTAAGCCTTTAGCACTGACCTTTGTGGCGTCATTTAACATCTAAACTGTAACAGATAGGGAGAAGAGGTGGATAGAGAGAGAAGCCTGACACAACAGTCTCGGTAGAAGCCCTGGAGGAAATGCAACCATTAACTATGTTCAGAGGCAATGGGCAGCATCATTAAGAACACAGACATTGTCTATCTACTGATATCTGTTGAGGGTGGGCCAGCAGTATCAGTGTATACAGTAGAACTATATACAGATGGCTGGAATTCACAAGTATAGGATCAAGGATATGACAGAGAACAATTTTCCCATGTTAGAACTGGGAAGAATTTTGCAACTCTGTTACCTCTGGAAGTTTTCTATTTGTAGTTTTGCAGAAGTAACTTGGGAGCTGTGGGACCCTGACCACCAAGTGAGCTAGCTCAGTTCTGTTCCCATGGTTTCTATTTTGGGGAACAGCAAGAGTTATGAGGAGTGATCAGCCTCTGGAACACCCTGATCTGTAAGGAAATTGAGTTGTCTTGTATTTGAAGTGCACATCTCCCCATTTCCTGCAGTCTGATGTTGCGTAAACTCTAAGAGCTCAGTTTTCTTACCTGTGCAGTGGGCATAACATCACATGCCTACTCTAGTTGTCACCAGGAATAAATTATGATAATGAAAATATACCTATCTGACACTTAGTGTATATTCAATATATACCAACCACTTATCTGAGCTCTTTGTATATATTAATTGATGAATTTCATTACGGACAAGGGTCATGGAACACTTGCCCCGAGTAATGAAGGCTTACACATTATCAGTATCGATTCTGTGTCAATCAGGGTTATACTGCTCTACCTCTTGTAAGTATCAAGAGCTACAATTTACAATGTGTCAGATGAGTTTTAATATAGATTGCTGTAAAGCCTTTTTTTTCTGTAGAAATTCAGTTGTGATATGTTATAGCTCCCACTTTATATGCAAAAACCCCAAGGTTCAGTAGCTTTGATGAAGATCGCCAAGTTCCTAAGCTAGGAGTTTGACTCCACCATTTAAGCCTCCTTGAAGAAAATCTGGCCTTGTTTGTGACCTTAAATGGCAGGGCTGGCTTGGAGGTTGAACAAGTCCCTCTGCTTGGAAGATCCCAGGTTACTGTTCTGATGTCTTTGTATTCCACAAACCTGCCTTTGAATTTGTGCTTGTAAGTGAAGTCAATGGGACAATGAAGTCAGCACAGGAGCACAGATGTGTTCCAGAGGTTAGCATACACATACATGGTGGCGGTCCTCGCAAGTCTTCACAGTAGGGTTTGGTTTATGGGCATAGTGGGTAATCCCACATAGCAGGATTCTTGGGGAAGTTTGGAGTGCCACTGGGACTGAGGATCATATCTGGTCTGGATCTAGGCCCAGACTGCGGTGTTTACAGTGTTTACATTAGCATAACCAGGATGGCAGTGGCTTTCCCTGTAGGAGAGAGAATGGCTCTACATTGGAGTAACACCAAGATCTTTGTGGCAAGCTTTCCAGTCATATCTAGAGTGTGTTCCTGGGGCAGCCATACTAATAGTAAACACTTCCATCTGAGGCAGAAAAGGAGGTGTCAGCTCTTAGGAGGGAAACCTTAGAAAAAAATCACTACAGAGTACAATTTTATGTCTGGACTTTTAAATAAAGTATGTCAAAACATTACCAGAATTATTAAAAAAAACTTACAATTCTCAGTTCTGAAGCTTAAAATGTCATTGCAAAGCAAACATCACAGGCTTAGAAACAGAGATAGAAATTGAATGTGAAGATCTTCATTGGCAGCAAAAACCCTATTTTAATTTGAAGCTTGATGTGAACAAATGTGAAGTGAGGAAGATACTTTTGAAATCGGTTCTTTCCTTACAATTGAAGACATTTTAATGCATGAGCAGGCATTTAAATAAAATGTTACAAAGCCACTTTGATTTCTTTATCTAACACTCAGCAGTCACAGAAAAACTCAGGAAACTATTGTACAATGAATGTACACAATGCAATAAAGGTATACAAAGCTAATCATTCCAGAAAAATTACTCTCAATATGTGTTCATTATATTAAAATTAAAAATTAGTCAGAATATATATGTATAGATATAAATATTGTTATAGTCTGAAAGATACACTTGACAACAGAACTTTTCTCTTCAAAGCTGCTTAAAGAGCAGTTATGTTCTTAGAAACAATCTGCAAAAATTGTGAGAGAAAATTCTTGACATTAGTCAAGTTGTCACAGTCATAAATTACATTTGTTCTAACCATCTGTGTCATTTCTAATATATTAGAGTGGTCATAAGTATGCTTTATAAGTAATACATGTTAGCTAGGTGGTGGTGGCACAGGCCTTTAATTGCAGCATTTGGGAGGCAGAGGCAGGAGGATCTCTTTGAGTTTGAGACAAGCCTAGTCTACAAGAGCTAGTTCCAGGACAGGCTCCAAAACCACAGAAAAATCTTGTCTCAAAAAACAAACAAACAAACAAAGCAAAAAGAAAAACAAAAAAGTAATACATGTTTTATTATGTTTCAAAAAAAAAAAGAATTAGTTTTCTCTTCAGTGATATTTTTACACTCTGGTTTTTAAGAAGAGGGTCCCTCTGTCACACACACACACACACACACACACACACACACACACTGTTGAGACATCCTTTTACTTTCCTATCCATGGGCATCCTACACTAATCCTAGATGAATTACAATGGACAGTGTACTGTAAAGACGTAAAGACTGTAATAAGAAGGAAAAGCACAGTTGTTTATGGAGGCTTTTTATCTTCACCATACCTTCAATACAAAATCAAGAGCAGGTGTCGGCTCCAAGGTGGGAGAAAAGTCGCTACCCCAAGTTCCTCCTCCTACATCCCCTTGTCCACTCCATTGCCAGGATCTTGGACCAGAAATAGTCTATGTAGAAGTTAGCACAGAGGTCAGACACATTTTCTCTCTAGCTTTGGAGTGGGGTACATATGATGTCTGTCTTACAACCTCGTAGACTCAATACTTCAATGGACATAGCCTTCACGTTTAAAGTGAGCAGAATCCTCCAGCCCCAGGAAGCTGAGGGTGGTGTCATTCCCTAGTAGGAACATCTTGTCCATCTATCATTCCTATCAAGTTACAAACTGCCAACTTGGGACTCTCATAAACAATGTTTCTTAGAAACATATGATGCTTACTGGGTTACCAAGGGAATAGAATTAAGGAGTTGAGGCAATTGTCATACAGAGACATAAAGATTTTATTAACATTTCATCCAGAATATGTCATTATGAAAAAAAGCAGGAGAACAGACTGTGCAGTTTTTAAATACTGTAAGTCTACAATATTGACCAATAATATTGACCAGGAAAAGGGCAAAACCAAACCAAACCAAACCAAAGTTTCTGGCTAGCAGCATTCAGAAAGCTCTTGTTCTATAGTTAGTCTATGTCTTCCTCCTCTCTCTGTTTATAGTGTCACAGATAGCAGATACTTGGTAAATATGTATTGAACTAGTAGATACAAAGACTCTCCCTAGAGTACACAGTGAAAGCAAAACAGGTCCACTTTTAATACTTGCAAAACTGTCTAACATCTTCTCGCCTTACTGATGTCCTTGTTTGGACTGCTTCATTCTTGTTAGCCCAGCCTTTCCCTTCTTTTTCTGCCTCAAGGTAAGCTGTGCTTTAGTTACATGAATGTATAAGGACCATGTCCCCAGTCATGAAAGAATAGATATTAGTGTTAAGCTCTCTCTAATAGAGGCATATTGTAATACAGTAGAATGTAGGTTTCCAGTCTCACTATCACTAGTCCTGGAATGTAGGAGAGGATCATGGGATCAGTATGCAGTAACTACAGTTAGAGAACTACACTATTTCTAGCCCAGATATCACCAGAAATTCCAATGCAAGGAATGGCCGTTAAATGGCCAGATGGGAACTATAAATTCCCATGTTGGGTGTTTGAAAAATACTTTGAATTAAGATATAGTAATCAAAGCAGACTTTCCTGATGTTATTACAAAATAAGTTTTATTTATAAGCCAGCAGAGTATAGAAGGTCTAAAGTGTTTATTTTTCTTATGGAGTAAAAGAGTGAAGAATTGCTCAACACATTGGGATGCAAACAAAACTGGTGTTACAGATTTTTAAAGATCCAATAGGCATGTTCAGTTTTAGTCCCACTAACAGTCTTCATATAATCATCTAAACCTGGTAGGGATTACTAAGACAATATAAATCAGCCTTCATTTTGTGAAGTAAACATTTTTAACTACAAAATTAATATGCATGTTTAAACAGGATATTGAAAAGTATAAGCTCATTACTAAAATAATTACCTCTTTCCTGGAAGTGTCTTATATTTGACTTTTAAATAGGATTAGGGCCAACTTTCATTAACATTTTGTATAAATATAACCTGTATGCTCAGAGTCCACTGAAGGGACCGTGCCATTTTTATTTACCAAACTGAAGAATTACATGGAAATTTGGATAGATAATATAAATGTTTGGAAAAATATAAGTGTGGTGACACATGTCTACAAAGCCAGCCCTCAGAGCTAAAGCATGGAGGATTATGAGATGACAGCCTGGACAGTATATTAGGAACCTGTTCAAGGAAGAAAAGGAAAAAACATCCTAGGAGAGAGAAGAAAAGGGAAAGCTGAGTGTACGCTGTCTCCGGGAAGAGGAGCTGCAAATTTTCAAAAGCCTGGGCGATTCTAAGTAGGCTGGCACGATGCAACTGCTAGGGGGGTCCCAAACCGTGCGCCATCTCATCTCCGTACACGGTCATCGTATTTGAGACATGGGCTATTGCTGTTTCCTTTCTGTTCCAGCCTGTAGTTCTTCTGCTTTTATTTTCCCTTTGAATGACGTCATACAGGTGTCCATGCCAAGGTACTCACCAAGGGCAATCATCATTTTTGGAGATATTATTCTAGAAAAAAGCAGAGGAATGTTACGATCCTTTAAGACTCTTAAAGTCACCGAAGGGACTACTTTGCAAAGACGAAGAGCAAATAAAGTGTGAAAGATCAAGACTCGTGCTGTTCATCTGTCACTTAATGGCAGGGATGAATGGAAACCTACCACCCAATCGTAGTTCAGGGCCATCAACATCATGGATCATGGCAGATGCTTTTAGTCCTTCCTATACCCTAGAATCGTTCCCAAAGCATTGAAAACAATCCCAGTTTCTCTACATGCTATACTTCCTGATCCTTTGGAGAGACAAGATAGCTCCTTACTTACTCTGTATATCCTTATTTACTAGAAAATAATAGCAAGAACTAGACTAAAAACATACCAGTTAAGACTATGTGTGGCACAGTAGTTTTAAGTGTAAGGATGTTTCTAATGGGCATGTGAGACCAAGAATCGTTGCTTAAATCAAGGATAATATTGGATCAGCCCAGTTCTGCTCAACTTAACTGAACAAATACTTTTGCATGTTTATTCTTTATAAGATCCTGTCTTGGGTATATGCAGAGACCAGGAAAGCACTTACAAATTGTATCCTCAGAGAACACACAAGCAGGCAAGTGTCTAGTATGTTAAATGCTAGAAAGCCATGACAAGTATGATGGTCATATTACCACAAATGTTGGTTTTCTTAAGCAATTAGGGAAGCTGAGGAAGAATAGGGAATGTAATGAGTAGGTAAAAATAGCAAAGGAAATAATGTATTTCCTAAGAACACGATCCTCATGCTCCAGCTTTCAAATCACCAACATGATGCCATGAGAGGGGAACTCCACACCTGACTAATGAAAGTGCTTCATCAGATGGCCTTTGGGTTGTGTGTAGGTGTTCTGGAAACACGTGGGTACCTGTTCAGACTTAGCTTCTATATTCAAGATACCTCATATGTATAAACTACTTCATATTTGAATAAATGAAGCCATAAACACTTGTGATCCTAAGCATTGTTCACAAGGGCAATAGGTCTTGTGCATACAGCAGGGGGAGGGCCTGATGTGAAAGTTACAGTCTCTCTGCTTCATCTTGCAGATTCTCAGTCCTCTCTACACTCTGATCGTGCTATGCTGGAAAGCTTCCTGAACAGCCATCAGGGCTAGAGGCAGCAGACAGAAGACACTGCCTCCATGGTAGATGTGACAGTGTGAGAGTCTACTCACAAATACCCCAGAATGCATTGTGTTGACCTCCAAGGAACTTGTAGGGATTGGAGAAATTACCAACTACCTTAGCATTTTCCCAGAAAAAAAAATCAGGATTTTTGTCCATTATTGCAAAAATATAACTTTGCATCATACAAACTAAATTAATTGATAAAAAAAAAACAAAGACATAAAAACAACAATAAAAGAAGCAGAATGTGGTGTTTTATACAGCAATCAGGGAAGTTGAGGAAAGGACTTGAAAGCCTGCTCCTTGCGATATAATATTATCTCAAAGAACGAAAGTGAATAAACACACACACACACACACACACACACACACACTGCTGCCACCACCACCACCCAAACAACAGGAAAGGACCTTAAAACTTCTCCCAATGCTTCCCACCCCAGAATTTGTGTACTATTTGGTTCCGTGAAGGGACAAACATGGTGTGTTCTTGAGAGGCTTAAATGATGCATTAATTTAACAAAGACATAGTTCACACTAATCCAGTAAATTTTCCTTGTGTAATATTAAATTCTTTTTCATCATTTTAAGTAACGGTGAAGTTACCTTGTAAATAGAAAAGCTAGCAATGATTAGACAGTTTGTTTATAATCAGCCCAAAGACCAACTAGGTCGTCATAAACTTACTGTTTGAGAAACAATGCAAAATACGAAAACTTGGGTATGAGGAGGTAAACTTGTTCCTCTAAGATAGCATTGAAAACTTTCTGAGCCACATACTCCTGTTCCAGTAGAGGTAGCAGAAGGGGATACCTGGAATGAAAAATAGAGCCAGAGATTGAGTTAATAGAATGGTCTTTCCTATGTGGTCAGTACTGAGTGTTAGATTTCAGATATCAAATTACAACAGAAACAATGGCTGTAAGAAGTGAAAACATTATCAAATACTTGGGGTTATCTTGTGTTTCTGCTCATGGCCAACACTGGACCTATGTGGACATCTTTTACTGACTCATGTGATTGCCCAGTCCTTGCTTATTTTCTGTTCTATGGTCTGGATATAAAGATCCAATTACTAATCTAGGCAGATTGCTCAGTGGTTAAGTGCTTTGGTCACAAGTTTGAGGACCAGTGTTTGATGCATAGGACCCATGAAAATACAAGATGGGCGTGGCAGACCACTTGTAATTCCAGGCTCAGAAGTTTGTGATGGGATCAAGCTGGTTAAGAGGACTAGCCAGATTGTCAAGATCTGAGTCTGATTCACACAGAGAGCCTGCCTCAATGAAAAGATTAAAGGGTAGTCATGATGATTTCTCATATCATCCATAAGCTTCCATGTACACATTTGCATGTGTGGCCATAGCTGAAGAAACCTGCACCACACACACACACACACACACACACACACACAATGTAAAAATGATGCAATTATTTACTTTTAGATTTTTTTGTATCAACCTTTCCTCTCCTCTCAAACATATTGAATTAGACACAAAGACATGCTATTAAGAAGTAAAATTGCGGTTACTGAATCCTTAGAATAAGTGAGGAAGAAAAGTCCGATACTGTGTTCCCCTTTTTGGATAAGGTATACAGGAGTGGTGAAAAATAAACTTGTGGCATTTCAGTATTGACTGATCTGCCCTCCTGACCTAAAAAAGAAGTAAAATTGCAAAAATCATTTACCAAAATTATCTCTTGAGCATGAGCAATGTATCATTTTAGGCAGAGGATCAAGTAAAATGGTTTATAAAGCAATGGGAGATATTGCATTAGACTGAAAGTAAAGGGTCTCTATTTCCTTCTTATTTTATATTTTTATATATTTTTCAATCACTTGAGCCATATACATCCAGGCACTGTTTCTCTCAGCTGATTTGGAAAGTAATCAATTTTTCTGTGACTGAATTTTGACAACTCTTCAAAGTCTCTGTTGCTCCAGCTTAAGGGGCTCAACATATTTAGATACAAACTCTGCAGACCATTTTCATTTCGTCCTTTAAGGGTCACTTTAGGATTAACAAGCTTTCTTTTCCTCCTCTTCTTCCCCCTTCTCCTTCTCCTCTTCCTCCTCTTTCTTCTTCTTTTCCTTCTTCTTCTTTTCTGGAGACTTCTTTCTTGGCTTTTAAGTATGTAGGTATGCCAAGCTTATATAAACCATTGTTTAACATCATAGCTTTTACTTGATACCATTTTACAATTTTCTGGCATTTATATTCCTTTTGTGACTTTGACAACCTAGCATTAAAACATATACTTGGTGCTTGAGAGTACCTCAGTGGTTAAGAACACTTACTGCTCTTGCAGAGGAGCTGGGTTCTGTTCCTAGCAAGCAATCATAGTTCACAGGCCTGTGTAACTCCAGTTCCAGGGGATCTGATACTCTCTTATGACCTCTTCAGGTAGCAGGGTTACTTACACATGATATACATACACATAAGCAAGCAAAAACACTCACGCATAAAATAAAGTAGGTGAATCTAAACATTTAAAAAGTATTTACTTATGTTATTATCAACTTTTGCCGATATTGCTGTAAATTAATGTTAGAAATAAAATAGTTAAGATATTGTGCCAGCTAGCTTTTTGTCAACTTGGCGCAAGCTAGAATCAGTTGGGGGGGGGGAGGAACCTCAGTTGAGAAAATGACCCCACCAAATTGGCCTGTGGGCAAGCCTGTAGTAAATTTTCGTGACTGATGATTGATATGGGAGGGCTAAGGTCACTGTAGGTGGCACCACTCCTGGAAAGTGGCCCTAGGTGCTCTAAGGGGCAGGCTGAGCAAGCCACTAAGAGGCACTCCACCATGGCCTCTGGGTCAGTGCTTGCCTTCAGGCACCTGTCCCGATCTGCTTCAATGATGGATGGACTGTGATATGAAAGTGTAAGAGAAGTAAACTTTTTGTCTCCTAAGTTAGTTAACGGTCATGGAGTTTTATCACAGCAATAGAACCCTAACTAAGACGGATACCAAAGGCATAAAGCATATGTGTCACTACTTACACATGGGGAAATATTTATTGAGCTTTGCCAATTGTAAAATTTGGGTTGCTTTTCTTTTACTAGTCCATTGTTAAATTTTCTTTATGTAGCTTAGAAAGAAGACCTTAATAAGCTTTATTATTATTGATGTCCTTTGAAGAATAGAGGTTCTTTTTTTTTTTTTTTTTTTTTTTTTTTTTGAGAAAGGGTTTCTCTGTGTAGCTTTGTAGATCATGCTGGCCTCGAACTCACAGAGATCTGTCTGCCTCTGCCTCCGCCCCCAGCTTAAGTAAGTTTCTTCTCCTCCTCCTCCTTTCTTTCTTTCTTCTTTCCCTCCATTCCTCCCTCCCCCCTCCCATCTTAAGTAAGTTTTTAAAACTGGAACATATTAATTGTCTGTGATACTAGGATTCGTGATGACATTTTCAAACAAGTATATAAGGTACTTGGGGCACACTAGTCCCCCACATAGTTCCCCCTCATCTTTCTGTCCCTTTCCTCCCCCACTTTCAATCTCCTTTCTCTAGACAGATTCGCCTCTGCTTTCAGGTTGAACATACACACGCGCGCTTGCTCATATACTCAGTTGTATGTATCCATGTAGAATCTAGGATACACAAGTGAGAAAGCACACAGCCACTAAATTCATGCGTGATTACCTCTGAAGCACAGATATTTTAAAACTTGATGGATCCAGTTTGCTTTCTGTTGCTGTTTGTACTTCCGGTGTTTCAGCTGGTAGATTACCACACGATCCAAGGCTACAAAAATCCAGTTTTTCTTTATGATTTAACTGCTATGCATTTGCAGTTAACTTCTGTGTGACGGGGATTTGTGTGGTGATATTTTTTTGTGCTATAACAAGTAAGTTTGTCTGAAGGTCAGAGGGTGGGTGGAGCAACTACTTAACCATAGTAGGCCTGGCAGTGGTGGCACACACCTTTGATCTCAGCACTTGAGAGGTGGAGACAGGAAGTAACATGGCTGGGGGGGGGGAGATATAAGGAGGGAGGAGACTGGAGCTCAGCCTTTAAAAAATTATTTCATTTTAAAACTATCTTTTCTCAGTTTACATACCAATCCCAGTTCCCACTCCCTCTCCTCCTCCTTCCCCCACCTTCCTCCCCCTGACCCCCCCATCCATTCCTCAGAGAGGGTAAAGCTTCCCATGGGGAGTCAACAAAGTCTGGCACATGATTTGAGGCAGGACCAATCCCCCGCCACCCCCATATCTAGGTTGAGCAAGGTATCCCTCCAAGCGAAAAGGACTCTGAAAAGCCAGTTCAAGCACTGGGGATAAATCCTGGTCCCACTGCCAATGGCCTCACAGTCTGCCCAAGCCATACACTGTCACCACATTCCTATGTAGGATCCCTGCCGTCCGTCTGGAGTATGTGAGGAGCTCAGGCTGAGGACTTGATAGAACTTTGGTGGCTGCTTTACTGCTCTGATCTTTCAACATTTACCCAGCTATCTCACTCTGACCAATTTGAATTCCAGTTGTCCCATCACTATTTGTTGAAAACTGTTAATTTTGACATTTTGGTTGAGAGTCTATTCTTTAGTGGCTGAACCATCTCTCCATCCCCAACCTTGTCTTGCCACTCTTATCGAAATTTAATGGAGGATTAATGTAAAGTGTATTTTTTTTCTTTTTTACTATCAACTTTATTCTATTGATTTGTGACTCTGCTGGTTGGAGTATTCTTGTGTGCTGCTGAGAGCTTCTACAGAGTTTGACATTGGAAACATGGATTCGGTTTACCTTTCTTCTGCATTTTCAGGGTAGTTTAGGTTTAGCCAAATTTTCTAGCTCTTTGCATCTCCGCATACATTTTAGCAACACCTTGGCAATTCTTGGAAAGAAGTCAGCTTGGGCTCTTTATTGTTCAGTGTTTTGTACATGAGTTCTGTATTTACATCTTTTGCATCCTTCCTCTCCACATACAACTCCTCTCATAGCCTCCCTCTCAAGTTCATGATCTCTCCTGTGACTATTATTGTTACATGTATATATAAATAACAATAATATATGCACACATACCTCACATGCATATACGTACACATTATGTATTTATAACTTACCAAGACTATTTAGTGTTACTTGTTTGTACACACGTTTAGGGCTGACCACTTGGGATGGGAGAACCTATCAAGGAGTGTGTTCCCAGAGAAGGCTGATTCCCATCTCACAGCAGCCATTGGTTGCCTGTTGCTCTTCATCTAAGGGTGGTGGGGCCTTTTGAGTTTCCTCTAGAAATTTCGTTGAATCTAGGTAGAAGTAGAACCTTAATAGTACTGAGTCTGTCTGTCCATGAACATGGAATTTAGTCTGTTTTCATTTCTATCAAAGATATACTTAAAATATTTTTTCACAGTATAAGTGCTTACCTTCTACTAAATCTGTTCTGTGTTTTATTACTTTTATGCTATTATAAACGGAATTGCTTTTATTAATTTCACCTTGGGTTTATTTGTTGTAAGTATATAGAAGTGTAACTGATTTTGTGTTGATTTTGTATATTGATCTTGTACAATTCATTTCTTAGACATAATAGTTTTATGTGCACATGAGTGCTGCACTTCAGTATGTATGTTCATGCGTGTGCCTTAGGATTTTCTACACACCCTGTCTGGGAACAGGTTTTCTTCTCTTTCTTCTCCGTTTCTACTTCCCTGTCTTTTATTTCATATGACATGGTGAGCATGCACACATTTGCTTTGTTTTTTTGTTCTTGACTATTTTTGTGCTGGAGACAGAACGTAGGATCTATCTAGCACATGGTAGCGAAGCATCCTTCCACTGCACCTCCCTTCCCTGAGGTATT